ATTATAAGCATCAGTACCTGTCCCAGAAAATTGGGTATAGAGGCTTATGGGGAAGATGAGGAAGAGAGTATAAATGAAGCAACGGGCTCCCTTCTTCTACACTTGAGAGGAAACAAAAGTATATATGAATCGCATTATAGATGATATTTCATTGTTGTGTAAGATTATGAGATAAAGAAGCGGAAGGCGTAGGCGGGCATGGGGAGTGTAGGGTAGGATATTTTATAGGTTGAACACTGAAGCAAATTGAACTGAATGCCATGTTGCCATTGACAAGATAGTGACAGTTGGCCTTGTGACCGTGAACCTTCAAAATTTGCTTCCAATCCATTCCTGGTTACTAGATAATTGTTTCTCATTGAGCTTCTAAAATTTAGAATCCCCAATCTCACTAAACATATGCTCTCTATATTAAGCCAAGTTTGGTTTTAATAAAAATTAAATTTTTAGTAAATTTTGATAAAAATTGACGAAATATATTGTTGAAGAGTTGATAAAAATTGAAGATTTTATAAAATGTGTTGTTAAAAATAAATTTGAGAAAAAACTAATTTGAAGAATTGTTTGTGTAACAAACAGAATTTACATGTAACACCCACATACTAACTATTTATTAATTTTCATTAAAAAAAAAAAGAAAAAAAGCAAAGCTATTTTTCCTTATAAAACAACAAATTAATATTAAAACATATGATAACGATGACAAAAAAATCTAAAATCGTGTTTTGAAATCTAGTTGTTTGGTGAAGAGTATTGGCTCATTGGGATAATTAAAGTCTATTGGGTGTCATGTGTTAATTCCATTTGCCGTGTAGACGATTCTAAAAGTTAACTCACGGAATCGTAACGAGTGATGGGTATGGAGTATTTTTCAAGGTTTAGTGACATTGGAACAACATTTTAAGATTCAATTAAAAGTCAAAAACACGATCTAGAGTTTAGTTAGTTTCTTAGTGATAAAACCATTAATCGATTACAGTCGCGCCCAACCCATTTGGGTGTGTATATTTGTATTTTTTGCCATAATTATACACATTACTTTATCGAATTTAGATTGTGAATTTACCGATATTTGAACTAAAATCTATTTATTTATGAATCTTCAAAACCCAAATAGAATTTACTATAATGAATGAATTAGGGGAGAACAAAATGACCAAACAAAATCAGACCAAATCCACCCGAGTGTTTC